CGAGCTAGGATTTTGAAAAAAAAAATTGGATTTTCACTCACAGCAATCAATAAAGGAGATGCAAACCACCAGCAAAACTGGAAATATAACGAAGGGAGATGCCCAGTCATTTCCAGACAGTTTCTCGCCAATCGTCCTGCTCCATAGAACCAACAAACTGCAATAACTTCAAAGAAAGTCAAGTACATGATGGAAACAGATGCCGCATAGTGGTCTATCAACTGAAAGTAGTAGATTCCACCCTGAATAATCGATAAAAGAAAGCCTCTCGTTATTATCGACGCATACAATTTCGAAATGAAATCAAATTGAATCCAGCAGTACCTCAGTGACATTTGGAAGTCCACACAGAAAAGACAAACAGCACACGACGAGCACCAAAAGCTCGTGTTTCTTGAGCCATTTCTTTATCCAAGCACCGTAAGCATCCGTGAGGCTGGTTATAACCACTTCAACCATCGCAAACTGGGCAGGAAAAATGTCAGCCAATTTTCTCAAGACAAATCAAAATGTAAAAAAAAGCAATCATAAAGAAATTCACCTGACTGTCCAATCCCAAGCATAAAAGCATGAAGAAGAATAACATGGCCCACAGAGTTGGTAGAGGCATTTTGTTCAACGCTTGCGGATACACAACAAAAACAAGTCCAGGACCTGAGTAAAAAAAAAAAACGAGCGACTGAATCTCAAATCTCACTCAACATTTGTTGAAATCTGGAATAAGTTTTCGATTAAAATTTCAAATTCTATTAGAAAAATTTTTTTCTCGAGAAAAATCAACCGCGCTCACCATCTGAAACGATGTCGTCTATACACTTTCCTTGTTCGTAACTCAAATTCCCGAGAGTGGCGAAAACAATGACACCAGCCAACACTGACGTCATGGCATTGACGGTGGCAACAGTGAGCGTGTCTTTCAAGATTGAATTATGGTATTGATTGTACGAAGCAAAAGCAATCAAGGAGCCGAATCCAATGCCGATCGAGTTGAAAATTTGCGACGCAGCATTTATCCAAACCTGGAAGAGAAATACAACTAATTCATGTCGGAAATTTTCCAGAAATTTAAAATTTTCATTACTCGACTAGATTGATGATGAACACTAATACTGTAGAATCATTGTGCCCAATTAATATAAAAAGCTTTCTGCTCCACTTCATTTCATATTTACGTAATGGTTATTCAAGTATTCTGGCATTGAAAACGGGAAAACATTTTTAGTGATCGAACGTAACATGTTGAAAATTTGAATTTAAAAAATAATTTCCGAGGAAAAGAAAAAAAAGCCGGTAATGTCTACTTGCATCAGCATCCCAAAGAAAATCCCAATTTGGACGAATCAAGTACATCACACCGGCTTTCGCCCCAGGCAAATTCAAACAGGAGACCAGGAAAACAACCATGATGACGTACGGAAATAAAGCTGTGAAATAAACCACTTTTCCCGACGATTTCACGCTTTTCCAAATTGAAAAGTAAACCAAGATCCAAGCCACGAAAAGGGCCAACACCAGTTCCCATCGCATAGCCTGAGGGTCATCCACGCCTGTGCTGATCTTCAAAACTCCTTCCCTGTGAGGAACAAAAGCAGCAATAATACGGATCAATGATTTTTTCGTTAACTAACGCAATTATTAAATTCAGACGGGAAAGTTAAACGCGACATCTATTAAAATCTTCGACAACCACTGCTGAAAAAAAACATTAAAGGCGTAATTCCTTACTTCCATACGAAATTTCAAATCTTCTGCCATTGGAACCCTCAACTGGAAGTGAGGTGTTTTTCAAAATATGTATTGCAAACCTCGTAAACTGGCATCCCTGATATTCATCCTTTTTTAATGGTGATTATTTTTACATTTTTATTCATCAGACTGAAAATGTGAAAAAAAAAAATAATGGTAGACATACTAGAAATGAGGGAACCATAGGATATAAAATATCACCATCTTCTGCGTCCAGTTTTACACAAAAATTTTCAAAATTTGGTATTTTTCTCAAGCTTTCCCAAAAAATTATTAGGATAATTTCAGAATATATCCTTCAATAATGGACAGACGTAAGGCTTCAGTATAAGCATCGGTTTTAAAAATAATTTTTCCAAAATATTGCACCGACTTGAACCAAAGAGTCAAATTTTGAGAATAAGGACTTGGATTTGAATGATTCAGCTCTTGAAAAAGTAAATCAGAAAAACATGTTTTGCATTTTTCATGTTTTCCTCATTCCCGTGCCTATCGTATAGGCCAAAAATTCTGATTTCCCAGAAATTTTGAGTGAGACAGAAGAGAACATTTTAAAAACATGCCTGTGATACCCAGCTATACATCCAGCCATTCTAAAAAAAAAAAAAGGTTCAACAAATTTTGAAATCCTCTGAATATATGTTCAATATATAGCATAGCGTGGATATGTAGAAAATTAAATCCCGTATAATGCGTTGAAAATTTGTTTTCAAAGACTTACAAGAAAAAGTCCTCTGTCGGGGTTCTCGGGTACGCCAAGTGCCGCAAAGAATCATTCTCGTCCAAGTTCTTCAAAATGGAACTGTCGTTGCCATTGGTTTGAATGGTCCAATTGCTGGTGGCCACGGAAGTGCAATTCACGTAGCGACTCTCTATGCCGAGTTGCGTCGAGTTGTACGTGTACTCGTCAGCTGCAGCATCGTCACCTTCGCCGTCGGAGACGACAAACTTTTCCTCGTCTTCATTCGTGTCCATGCACCAGATGGAATTGTAAGTGTTGTTGCAATGAGACCAGGGCAATTTGGCCCGGAACGAACTGAACAGGTAGAACAAGGCCCAGGCAATGATGACGTTGTAGTACGTGCACAAGAGGAAAGATATCACCACTGTGCCGAATCCAGCCCCTGAAAAACAAATTCGAATTTTTTGCCAGAAATTCCTCGTAATTCATGACTTCTACAAGTAGCGTATTTCAATCATCAAGTAGCTGAATGCAGGATTTTATAAGAAATTTAGAATGTAAATGCGAACTGTTCTTCGAATGAAATTCCGCCAAAAACGCTTTTTTGAAAAACAGGAATGCATAGAAGGAGCAGTGCTAAAAAATCTAATTACAATATAAGTCTATACACCGCAGTATACCGCAATAATTTTCGGTCATTTTTTCGCCGTTTCCAATGAAACTACTGGAATTTCTGAATTCTTCTCAAAATTTTGCTCGTTAGTAATAAAAGAATGTTCTGTAGTAAACAAAACTAAACAAAAAAATGGATTCTCAATAAGTTCATCTAACATTGCTACTAAAGATATGGATTTCACGGGGAAAATATTCGTCAATTCTGTTTTGACGATTTTTAAATATTTTGCTTCTAAAAATTCATTCTGCTTGACCATGCTGTAAGTTTGCCAAAACGTAGCTTGGGTTTGAAGGAATGAACATCCTAATTCGGCATTGAAACATATCCTCATTTCATACATGAATCTTCACCTACAGACTTTTTAGTTCTAGAAAATGGTTTCCTCGGTCCCTATATGGTAGTTCATTGTAAGAAGACCGTCTTGTGAAAAATCATTCCAGCTCAGCCTTAATCATTCATTATTTTTTTTCAGGTTTTATTGGAAAAAGTAGGAAACTAATTGTGGACATAACTCACCTTTGAAGAAAGGACAAAGTCGTTCAAGTGCTTGAATCGGACCTCGTCTAGTGTACTGACCCACTGCAAGTTCCATGTACATCAAGGGCACGCCACAAACCAGCAGCATGACGAGGTATGGTACCATAAAAGCCCCTGTTTTAGATATAAATATTTCAATAAAGCCGTAGAATAGCCTTGAAAAAATAAAATTGAAAAAGTGTCCGGGAATTGGAACTGTCCGTTTGCGTTTAGGCATTTAACGAAGTTAAATACGAGGTGGTAATGTAAAAATTAACTCGTGTGATCGAAGGCTTTCTCGCAAATTAATTATCATTAATATTAGGTCCAAATCGAAAATAGTTTAGGCCTCGTCAGAAGACAGTGCGACAACGAAAATTCATTCAATTGAAGAATAAGATGTAACGAAGCGATTAAAAAGTGATCGGGAGTCCCAGGGTTATTGTTATAGTCAGTCACAATCAAAATTTCAATTGCACAATCGAAATCGCTATTTGTTAAAAACCTTTTTGCACTATCAAAATCGAAATTGCTGCTAAACATTGCAATTGATACACAATCGCAATCGAAATGGAATTAAAATAGATTAAAATGCTCATAAGTGAAAGTGGCGGAAAATTCATCTTTTCATATATGTTTTCTCATAAAGTGACGGTTCAATTACAGTTTTGTTTCAAAACAAAAAAGTTCAATGGAACTTGAAATGCATTTTCTTTGAAGATTGTCTATTCAAATAAAAAATATAGTTTAATACGAGATGTGTGGTAAGAAAATGTTGGGTATATCGTTACGACAGTAAAGTTGGATTTGAAATTTTCCCAGATATACATTTTCAATTCAAGGATCGTCAAATTTGAGCGTGTTTTAAAATCTACACGGGGTTTGCTGACGCATTTTTGTTCCTCCTGTTCACAGTAAGCAAAAAGTACGTCATCGATTTCTGCGTGATCTTTATTTCAAATTGAAGTGTTGTGAATGCGAGGTCAAATCCAGAGCGAATCGTAAAATTTAACGCACCTCAACTTGAAAATAAATTCACTGAAAATCTTTAGATTCATTTGCCACTTATTATGCTCACGACATATCCCTGAAACTCTTTCGTCAAGTCTAAACCTTTTTTGAAAGTTTTAAATTCGCTTAAACAATGCAGAAAACGTAGCTTCTCATCAATGTGATTCGAACATTATTTTTTTTCAGCTATAAAGCAAATGGCCCCCGGCAATGTTTTTCTTCCGATTTATTTAATCTGACCTCCGCCGCTTTTGTAGGCCAAGTACGGAAACCTCCAGACGTTCCCCAAGCCAACGGCGTATCCAATGCAAGCCAAGATGAATTCCATTTTCGAGCTCCATTTCTGCCTCGGATGTCGACTCTCGTCATCAAACCCATCGGACGTGTCGTCAGCATCATCCAGGTCGTCGCTGCCGTACGTGACTCTGTTCGGATTCCAGAGACGAATAGAAAAAAAAAGTCAAGTCGTCTTATATTCTGACCCAGTTCACCCGCAAGGCCATAGTCTCGGAAGAGAAGCAGCAAGAGTTTTTTTTTTCACAGCCATCTCGAAGAATCCGTCATTATTATTTTCAGCGATATTTGGTGTATTATACATGTCTAGACGTTCTTGTCGTTATCTATTGAGAAAGATAATTCGTTTTTTCACTTTAGTGTCTTGGGAGTCCGAATTTACAAAATAAAATAAAATTTTTTGCTTGCATGGCTAAAAATTCTGAAAGTGCAGAAACCCACTAGACCAGTACGTGAAGTGTTCCTCAAAATTTTTGGGACTGCAGACTAGAAAATTTTCATAAAATTGTTGCAGACCAGCTATCACTTTTTACCACGTTTTTATGAACTCACTTTCTTGTCTGTCTATCTGTCTGTCTGTCTGTCTGTCTGTTTGTCTGTCTGTCTGTTTGTCTGTCTGTCTGTTTGTCCAGATCAAATTTTGAAACTCAAATTTCACT